TCCAGAAACCAGTCAGCCGATGTTCATTCTTTCGATGAAAGCAAAAATAAGAATTGGGACGTGGAATGTTCGTACAATGGACACAAGTTGTTTACACAGTTTTGAGATTTGCACTAAAACAGGATAAAAGAACTACTGCATTCCTAAGATTATCAGACTGGCACCCCCCCCTGCCCTCGGTAAAAGCTTTTATGACAAACCAAACAAAGGAGAGACCCTATACACATTAAAAAGGGTATAAGTATAAAACTTGGGCACTGTGGTAGAGTATAACTCCATTATAGATAAGATTTTATTTTGATACGTCACACAGTAATATTAACTGATGACGTTTCGAGCACAAATTATTGCTCATAATCATATCAAGCTACTCACACAACTTTTTCCTTCATTTATATGCATGTGTGGAATTGACTAGATATTTAAATAAAAAATCAATATGTGATAATGTACATTCAGAAATAATAATATGTGTTACTGACCAGACACAATCAGATGGGAAATAAGACGAGTGTTTTTATAGTCATAAAAGTAACTTGTTAGAATGTTGTGATGTGCTTGAATTGAAATAGAATTTTGAGATTATCCTCTTCTGATTTCATGCATTTATTCCCCTTGGTGAATTTGAATAAAGCAAGAACAAAAGTGGTTTGTGCAGAATTATATGGTACCATCATTTATTTCGTTGGCTTCTCATCAACTGCTTACAGCCTAAAAATATATTAAGTTTATGTACAGAAAAGTTTAGACATACTTGCAAATTTTTACATGTTGTCAGCTGGCAAAAAGTTCCACAGTAAGTGAGCAGTGCTCAGAAAATTGCGCTTATATAATTTCGAACTGCCTGTGTAAAAACTATATAAGCGCAATTTTCTGAGCACTGTTCACTTACTGTGGAACTTTTTGCCAGCTGACAACATGTAAAAATTTGCAAGTATGTTAAAAATTTTCTGTACGCGAACCTCATAATTTATTTAGGCTGTAAGCAGCTGACGAGAAGCCTACGAAATAAATGGTACCATATTATTCTGCACAAACCACTGTTGTTCTTGCTCTTCTGATTTGACTGGCGGTAATAATATCTTCCATATTTCTGATATTTGCATTGAGTCATTTCTGTTGCATGTGTTGGATGTAGACTCAATGAACCAGGATTCAGTAATCAATCTCTCTCTCCACCTACACAGATTACTTCTTAGAATCTTAACCCTCTCCCACCCTATTGTGTGTTAATGCATGTCGTGCAGTTGCTGAGCTTTTTTCTAAATTACTTATCTTCTCGGGGTCAGCCATTCTTACCTTAGCCATATTCTTATGTTCCGGCAATCTGACTACCCCCGATCTACTAGTTTGACCTATATAGTTGACCTCACAGTCATTGCAGGGTATTTTGTGAATTATATCATTTTGTTTAATTGGGTCCACCGGGACTATTAGCCTACAGAGCTTGTTTGTGAGTGAGTTTGTAGGTTTGAATGCCACCCTAATTCCTGCTTTATTAAGAATCCTACGTAGGGTCTCAGATGTCCCCTCCTTATATGGTATGACAGTAGATGACTTATATTCTCTCTTATTTATGTTATCACTACTAGTTTCAAAATTATTTTTATTTTGCTTTTGGCCTTTTTCGATCTTCCTAATGAATTTTATAGGATAGTTATTTAACACCAACGCCTCTTCTATCTGTTTTATTTAATCATTTAGGTGCTTTTTTTGTGCTACTTAGTGTTACTGCTCGGTTTGTTAGACACTTAACTAAGCCTGCCTTAACAGTTAATGGATGAGATGAATTAAAGTTTAAAAATCTATTAGAATGCGTTGGTTTTTCATAAACGCTAGTGTGTAGTTTACCTTCTTCTGTAGTTAGTTCTTCTTTAACTGCTTCTAAGCCCATATTGATTGGTATATTAGTATAAAGACTAGTTATATCAAAACTAACCATTGTTTCATCATTTTCTAAAAGGCTTACATACTTCAATTGGTATTTCCTTCCACGACAGAACCTGTTTAGGCAGCACGAGCTTAGTGAATCGCTGATAAACAAATTCATCTTTTGTAACTAACCTACTGAAAGAAATAAAGTAATACAACATTTAAACCTTTATGAAACTTAACTGGTGAAGAAACCCAAATATCCACAAGGTTGCTTCCTTCCTTCACCTATCTAGCAAACATCGTTTTAACTACAAGCGATGGCACGGATGAGGATGTCAATGCCAGCCAACCAGAATCGGAGCGGCAAGGCAGACTCATTCATCACGCTGAAAATTCAGTTTGGAAATCTACTCAACTCAGCCAACATGAACAACAAGATTCGGATTTGCAACACAAATGTCAGGTCAGCCAATTCATCCATGTGGCTGAGAGACTTGCACTGTGCATCACCAAGAGCATTTCCAACAGGCCACTGCACACTTTTATCAACAACTGCTTTATCCGACTGTATATTGATGACCAAATGGACAGTGAAAATAGTTAGCGAGCCACAAGAAATGCTGGGAATGATCGAGTCAACCGAGAACCTATTGTTCAACAGGTGTGTAGAAGAAAGTGGAGATGGATTGGACACGCACTGAGGAGACTGTTGAGTGAGATTGTGCGTCATACCATCTGTGGAGTGGAAGTCGGATGGTAAACGACGAGTTGGACATGTGTCCGTTGGTGACATGTAGGAGATGATACACTATTAGGAATCGTCGCTCGAGACAAATTGGACTTCAGGGTCTAGGAGAAATAGGAAACGTGTTGTTGAAGGCCTTTATTCCACTCGCAACCGGAGCGAGCGATAATAACTTCAATAATGAAGGTAAGTTAGACAGGAAACTACTAAAATTTCATTTAGAAATGAATTGTTTTTCACGTTTTAGCCTTAGTGCTAAAATATGATGGTCACTTTGAAAGGCTGAATTAAGTTTAGGAGGAGAGGCATAGCATTACCTGTCTTAGAGCACAGTTTATGATCTCACGTAAATAACGTGAAGATAAAGAGCAAAGGCAACCACAAATCAAATATTGTTCGTGAAAGGATAAGTACTGAACACTGGAAGTCCAATAGATGAGGGAAGCAGTAACGGTAGCTATCAGTAAATGGTTGTTTAGAGGTAATTAGGAAACTATTGTATACAAGTTAGTAATTGATAAAACTGAAGAAAAGGATGATGACAGAGAAAATTATAGGATCGTTGACGTCTAACAACCCATGTATAGCTCGTTACATACTCAATGACCAGATGGTACACCAAAGCACAACCACTGACTATTGTCAAATTTAAAGTACGCGACGAGTAAGTACTAACTTATAAACTAAAACAAGATATAGTGACTGTTACAGTGGCCGAGATAGCACGTGGGATGTGATTTATAAATGAATTCCATGGACCAATCTTAACTGATAGTTTTTTGTTTAAGGTTCATCGAACACCTAACTGAAGCTGGTTGTGGATATATCGACCACATCATGGTATCGAGTGGTAATTAGGAAATGTTTGGAGATATTTCCTACTTGCTAAATGGAAGCTGTTACTTTAATAATTATCTACTTTACTAGGTTATTTGACAATACGGAATACTAGTTACTTCACCCATCAAGAAGTCATGTCCACGCTGATGGACTGCCAGCATCTTGGTGCAGATGTTATGAGACCATTCACCTTTGGAGAACCCACATAACTCGTGAAGCTAAAGTATTTGATATGTTGAGAGTAGTGTGATATATACTATGGTATAACCACTACGAAATCAGGAAGTTTAACGTAATTAACTATCATCGCAGTAATTCAAATGAACTGTCGTCAAGATTTGACAGAATAGTTCTAAAATATTTGGGCGTCGAGTGAGAAGTAGACATTTGTAAAATCTCAGCGAGATTGAAATGAGTAATTCCAAAGGTTCGTTCGGCAATCGGCATATCCTAAATCCGTAGCTGTCGAGTCACCTGACAACTCCAGTAGGTCGAATAAAGCAGCTCAATCTTCAGAAAGAAGACAAAGCAATAAGTCCGACAGGGTTCTTCTACTAAACTCTAATCCTAAACACCATTATTTTGAAAATACGTCTAATCATAAAATTCCAGATACTAACAGTTTGAACAGACATGAGGGTGTGATGTTAGCTGATGCATAGGAAATCCTTATTAATAAATAAAAAATGGATATGTATCACTAATTATTAATACTTGGTCAAAATTCTCGACTGTCCATATCTTCTTATGGAGTCGTTAAGAAATGTTTTACAACTATTTACCCACACACCCATACACACTCTGTTTAAAATGTTTAACAAAGGTAGACCAATATTTGTAAGTCCGAGGTCAAATTTTGATCACAGCTCATAAAATTTTGTTTATTATACTTGTTGAATGACTCATGATTGGACAAAGTTTTTGAAAACAAGTGATGTTCCTTTGATATATAAACCTCTGTCATGTTAATTTCGACTAATTTCCCTGAAGAAGTTCGGACCAGATTTCCGAACGAAACGTTGGAATTACTCATTTTAGTCTCGCTGAGATTTTACAAATCTAATTTTTTTACAAATGTCATCGCAGTAGTTTCGTAAGACATAAAAATTCTTATCACAAAATAATTCTAGTCCATTTCTCATAAATATGGACAGGAATATGAAACGCTGCCTGTTATGTAAGTTGTTCAGCTTATTATTCTTAAGCACGCATTTATCTAAAGAATTAGAATACTGCTAAACACATTAAACAAACCGCCACTATGATCGTGTATCAATTTGAAGTCTATTGTGAAATCGTTCAGACACTCTATGAAATGGAAATCAGAAACTCTATGACACTATTCACCAAATAAATCCAAAAACGTATTTTTCTACTGACCGTTTAGCCGTTAGGCGAACTACAACTGCTAGTTTAGTTTACTGAGAAACTCTTCGTTATTTCACGGATAAATTTGTCGATTCAAACAAATATGACTCAATCACATCTTATCCCCCCCCCCCAACTAATAAAGTTAACATTGTTCATTTGAGTGAATGTAAGGAAGTAAAGACTTCCTGATTGGAATTCTCAAGGACTTGAGTATTACAGTGGAAAGTCAATAATGGCGGCATAAATATCTGTACATTTTATTTTTTTCTTCAAATACTGAACTACTTGTTCCGTTTTATTTAGGTATAGAAGCAAATCAGCAACACATTTTTACACATATATGTATAATCTTGTTTCATATCTATGCACAGTGATATGTTTGAAAATTAACAGAGTTAAAATTGTTTCTAATATATAAACGTAACCAGAATGAAAACAAAATATACAACAGGTCTAAAATTTGAAAAAAGGTGATCATAGAAAAAGTTGAAAAAACACATATAAAAGGGTTTAAAACCTTGTTCACAAGTATAAAAATGTGACTTATGAAAAGGGATATGAGCAGAGTTCAAGTGTTTGAAGAAGCTGCAGCAGCTGCTGCTGCCGCTTGTGTTGCAGCTACGGCTGCAGCTCGTTGAGCACCCCAGTGAACATAATCTGGTCGAGTTGCTGCACTATGTTCTTCGATTAGGTTATGAACTACTTGTCTACTGTCAGAAAATTCCTTCAAATCAGGATCATCACGGAACACATCCTCTTTACGGAACTGTTCAATGAAGGCACCACGAGTACGTAATTTATCATATTGAGCTAAAGTACGTAGAAACAACTGCGAATAAAAAAAAAATCACAGGTAAAGTGGTTAGTCCCTCAACTACCTAGGTGGATAATGAAATGCTAATGAAAAACCTAAGATAAATTGGTAGAAACAAATTGAGCCACAATTTTTGATCGTTGGGCTACCTAAACTTCCATCTAAATATTGCATCTAATTTATCGTGTTTTAATTGCCTTTAAGTATTATCACGGTATGACATCGAATTGTATTATTTACTTTCGTGAATTTTTAAAATGTTTAAGACCAAATATCTTTCAAGTTTCCAACAGAACTAAGAAAAAACATCATGTAAGCTGGCAGCGAGCATTGAAACGCACATCTATACATCGTACTACTGTCCCTGCCCAACAAGATTATGTATGTGCAATTTCTTTTATCCTCTGATGCTTATCACAATATGGCTGTAATCACACTACAAGAAACTTGGCTTCGTGAACTTTATGATGATTATCTTGTCTCGATATATGGTTTCACATTATCTACACAAGATTAGCTTTGTTTCAAAAAGAAGTGTGGCGATGGGTGGGGTTGCAACTTTTATTTACTCTCAGTGATCAATTTCAAACAATGTTTCACATTTTCGAGTGACTTTATTGACTGTATTACAGTCAAATATCATCTCAAACATTTAATTTAGCCCTGTTTTTTCCCTCTCGAATCTATCTAATCTTGCAGAAGAATCTACAGTTCTCATTGCTGCTTGTCTTGGGAACTCTATCAATATTCAGTGGAGACTTCAATTCCTGCAACTGTTATTTCCTTGAATCACTAGGTCACGTAAACATTGTCAACTTCGCTACTTCAGTTCACAAAACACTTGATTTAGTGTTCGTAAACGAAGTTGGAGTATATGAAGCACGAAAACATGCTCCAATACTGAATTCTGATGATTGCATTATTCGAATGTTGCCTAAAATATATGGTAAGTCATGTACAAGTGTCTTCTCTCACCTTCCTGAGAAAACGCAAAAGAGATGTTATTCACAGAACAATATACACAATCTTAGATGCATGTTGAAGGACACTAACTGGGATCGATTTACTGATCATATACTGGATGACACAATCACAAAAATAACTATCTTAAGTGCTGTCTCAACATCTGTTGCCCGAAACAAACACTCTTCAGAAGATTTGACCGCTTCTCTTCTCCTCATCTAAAAAAGCTACCTAGAGAAAAAACGGTTACACAAGTCTAAAGATAAATCTAGTCTCAAAAGGATCAACACCTTAATCAAATCTGAAATCCAAATTCTGAGTACTATCTATAACCAAACACTTTTATCATATAAGATTCTTTCAAACAAGTGGACACATTTTGGTGAAATTACTGGTGGTGATAAGCAAAGTACTACTATTCACACACTCGCCTTCTGAAGTTATCATTCCTAATGATACAAATCGTAAGGTTAGTAACTTTCACGGTTTTAATACTCTTGATATTCTCAAATGTCACAAACCTCTAAAACCTACCCAAAGCCTTATTACTGAAGGTGTACCTGCTGTTGTCCTCAGATGTGCTGATATTCTATGTTATCCTCTTATGAACATTTTCAGTGCTTCTTTTTCCAGTAATGCTGTACACGTAGCGTGGGAAGACATTAAAATTATCCCAGTTCCTAAATTATGTATTAAAGTGAATGTTAAATTCAAACCTATTGCAGTTGTTTCTCTTATTTTGAAATTAATGGAGAAATTACTTTTACTCAACCTTGAAAAGTTTTAATGACCCCAAACGGTTTGCATATAAACAGGGTAGAAGTATTTTAGATGCTGCTGCCGTCTTATATCAAAATATTGTCCCCTGCTTAGGCAAAGGAGCTAAATATGTTCGATGTACCTACCTTAACCAGGCATACACTTTTGATTCTGTACACAGATGCCTTTTGTCAAATAGACTTTCTCTGACACAAACCGAGTCCTGGAATGTTAACTGGTTGCATTCTTATTTCTCGAACAGAATACAGTATACTGTGTATGAAGGCAAATCTTCCCCTACCTTGCTTATTGAAGCTGGAGTCTCTTAAGGAGCTGTTCTGTCTCTTCTTTCTTCTTCCTTCTTATATGACTTGCCTCTTTCTGAAGAAACTTTGTTAAATGCGCTGCTGATCTGACTGTGACAAACTTAACAGCTTTTTGTCGGACACAAGCCGGTGGTCCAAGCCAAATGGTCTCACGTTGAATCCCTCTAAATTTCAAGACAGTTAACTTCACTTTCAGCCATAAACGTGATCTACACGAACTGGTTCATTCACAAGATGCGTGTAGCAAAGAGGGCACTGAAATACAAAACTAAGTCAAACATAAAGTACCTTGGATTAGTTCTATCCTGTGACTTGTTTTGGTCATCCCATATCTTATCAATTTCGAAGAAAATGTTCCGTCTAATCTGTTTTTTACTTTAAGAAGTTGAGACAATCAGGAATCACTCAACCTCCACTTTTACAATTTGTTAACTCTTGCCTATTACCTATTGTTCTTTATTGCTCTCCCTTAGTCTTTTATGGGCTACTCAAGAGGACTGTATTATATTGCGAAGGGTATTAAAAGTAGCCAGTGGAGCAAGTATTGTGCTACTGAGTCAGCTCATTACTACTGCATTCGGCAGACACCTGAATTCATATGAAATCCATGTTGTCTGACTCTCAACATCCTCTCTACTCACAACTCACCTCTTACATCTCATCAGGTAGAACTAAAAGTCATTATGAAAGATTACATGCTCGCACAACCAAGTAGAAAAAATCAACGATACCTTATTTGGCCTGCATTTTATGTGACAGGGATTGTCAACCGTGAAACTTACAACTTACTATGTACTTATCTTCTCCTATTTGTAATTTATGGTGACATAATTTCAATCGCCTTATACTGACATAATTATTTTACACTTTTTGTAGATTTTTTAAACAATATTGCCACTGCTTATATCGAAAAGTTGCTGTTACTAATTTTGGTTACCTATATCCTGTAATATATTTTAGTTGATGTTGAGTAAATTAGATGCAATATTATACCAAATGGAATAAAGCAAATCACTATTATTATCATTATTATTATTAAAGTGTAGAAAATATTTGATCAGCAGATATAATTACCACTTAGAAATGCCGACAGAATACCTGATACTCTGAGTTTTTATCTATCTAATTTAAAGTATTTGTCATATTGATAACACCTTTTTCTGTGCCTCTTCTACAAAGACATTTAATCAATCAGGAATATACACAGGATATCATCGTCTTATTCAACTACTACGTATTTTACCATATTGTAGATAATTTATGCGTGCAAATTGTAGAGTAAAATATGCGGGGTCACCTTAAAAATCAGTTATATTTTAACTTCACACATTTGTTTGTAGGCATCAGCGATTTAACAGTGGTCTGTAGTTATACCCGATTTCTCTAAAGGAAACTGAGAATTCATAGTCACTGTATTCTTGCAATAAGCTCCCTTATGTTCAGAGGAGTCCAATTATTGATTCCCTCCGAATTGACAGTAAAAATAGTTATATAACCACTACATGTAACATCCAACACAGTTCAATAAGAGATTAATGATGACCGAAATAATTCTGTAGCAGTCTCCCTGATGGTACCAATGTGTTGCGTAGGTTCAAAGGTTTGAGGTAGCATCAAATTCCTTGGTGTTACAGGTATATCCTATTGTCAAGTGTCAGATGGCAAGAAAACTAAATATAGGGTTTTTTGCCGAATACCCACTCTCCCACTATTAATTAGTGTACAACACCCCAGAGAAGTGATAATCTGCTGATCACTTACAGGAAGTCACAATCAACATATTCAAAAACAAATACGAGCAATAAAGAACTTATAACTGATATGAAAAAGAACTATGACATGGTTATTGGATAAGAGTAAAAATCAAAGACAGTAATACTTACAGTAGATATACTTGTGTTATTTGCAAGCAAAAGACCACTAACACGATGTGGTGTTTGCACATATGGAGATCGCCTAGACAACGCAACTTGAATACTGGCTGGACCCCAAGGGATAAATTGGGCCATACGACGTTCTCGAATACGCTGCAATGACTTATGTACTTCAGTAGGATCTACTTCTCCTGAAAAAGTATTTGAATACAGTATTATCAGGTAATAAATTTATTGAAGTCAATAGGGTTGGTTCCAAATAAAATTTGGAATGATAAAAGCATAAAACTTGTGCACTGTGGTAGAGTATAATTCCATTATGGGCAAAATTTATTTTGATAAAGTCTCACAGTGTTATACGGTAATATTTACTGATGACTTTTCGAGCACAATTTATTGAAAACAAAACACGTAGTTCAGCGAAGGGTCTCTTTTCGGCGAATTCATTTTCTTAGCTGTACAATCGCAAATATATGTGTTATTTTGTATGTATGTGTACATTAAGTTTGTCAAACAAAATTACAATTGGTTATGGTTATTTTAACTAAACAGGTGAAGATTGGTAATTGGAGTTACGTAATACAAAATCGGTCAAGAAAATTGGGTGTTAATGAAATTAGGGTAGTAACAAAGGTGATGAGTTGTCACAAATAGTTGTTAAAACGGAGTTATGTAATAATATGAATAGTTTGATGACTGAGTTGTACTCAGGATTCATATAGAAACAAAGTAGAGAATGCAAAATTACGTAAGAGTTCTAAATGAATACAAGAATTACAAGCAATTAAAGAAACAGGCAAACAAACAAACAAAATTGAGTCATCAAAAATCAACAACGTTGTTACCATGACAGTAGAAGTGGTAGAGTAGTTCTCTTTTGTATGCACAGCTCCGGTTTTTCTATGTGAAGTGCCAGAGCTTCAGCGATAGACACAATTTATTGCTCATACTTACATCAAGGTACTCACACAACTTTCTAACTTCGTTTATATAATTCAATTATTATTCGAAATAATGGAATTATATAAAGGAAGTTAGAAAGTTGTGTGAGTACCTTGATATGATTATGAGCAAACGTCATCAGTAAATATTACTGTATAACACTGTGAGACTTTATCAAAATAAATTTTACCTATAATAGGAATGATAACATTTGAGGACATAATAGACTCAATGGTTTGGCATAAATACTACAGATAAAATTTGTCTACTTGCAAATTATAAGTAGTAGCACAATTCTTTGACAATGTGAGACGGTATATGCGAAGGATATTCGAAGCTATTTTCCATTTCATTGTGCATTTTTGCCAGAGTCAACGAACATGAGATACATTTTATGTCAACGAAGAGAGGTGGACTGCTTAAATCACTAGGTTGTTGAAGTTTCCATCCATCATGATGCTTAAACTTTTCTGAATTTACATTAATAATCCCCATCTAGAGATAAAAGCAAAGATTTCAGCGAAGTAATTCCTATTTTCCACGATTTTATTTCCATAGCTGTACAATCGTATTTTTATATAAACTACAGTTAACACATAAACAAACAATAAAACTAATTGTTGTTGTCTATGGTAAATCATAGATGAATACGACTGCACAGCTATGAAAATGAAATCGTCGAAAAAAGATAAATTACTTCGCTGAAATCTTCCTTATTGTTCTAACCATGCAAATATATCCATTGATCACTACATGGACTCGTATACATTTTTAATTAGCTTTTGAAAAAATGCTCTACAATTCTTGAAGCAACCGAAAGAAAAACGTCGTAGAGAAATGAATCTCTCTTCATATGGAACAGCACTGCATCATATGACATACTTGTAGATCTTGTGATTATTATTATTATATAAACACAGAAGAAAAAACTTGGTACAATATGGCACCAAGAAAGATGCGCCACACAATAATAATAAAACAACATAGATTAAAAGTAAAAATATAACTAGAAAACGGATAAAGAACTTCATCTGGAAGGAAAACAGTCATGTTTGACAAGTTCAAACAGTATTCGTTACCTATCATCAGGAAGGGAAGAAAGAAGGAAACTGCAACACGTTCGCCATTGATTACGATTCTTGGCCATATCCGATAACGTTTCCAGCCATCGATTCAAACTATCTCGCGGACCCCAACCAGGGAGTCGTGACGCACCAACCGATGCTAATTTAGCACAAAAATCCTTCATCCCATGACGCCACGTCATGGATTGACCACCCCTCCGCCTTTTCCATCCCGTCCCAGGGCTAGCGAACAGAGACCTGTACGGAAGCCTCTGGGATGACATTCGCAGTACATGTCCAAGCCACCGGAGCCGGTGTTTCCAGATGACGACACTCAATGAATGGTGATCTCCACTGTGTTCAAACACACACCGCCGAACCTCAGAATTACTCACGCGATGATGCCATCGAACGCAAGCAATCCTGTGGAGACAGCAGTGATCGAACACGCAGAGTCGCCGCACATCCTCAGCTCGGAGAGACCAGGTTTCAAAGGCGTAGAGCAAGGCAGCCCACTCCGAAGCATTGCATATCCGACCTTTGACAGCCAGGCTAACGTCGCGACGGCGCCAGAGGTGGCTCAAGTTGATGTATGCCACTCTAGCCTTCATTATACGTTTGAAAATCTCATCCGTCACTCCTCCGCCATCACTCACCCAACTACCCAGATACACAAACTTATCAACAACTTCAAGCGGTTCACCCGCAAGAGTGAGTGCAGGTACAGGCTCCTGCCGATCTTGTAACAGTACTTTTCACTTAGACGGCGCAAAGCACATACCATACTTACAGACACTGATCGGCAACTGATTAAGTGCTATTTGGGCAGCCTGCATGCTATCGCACAGTAAGACGATGTCATCTGCATACTCGAGGTCGAAAAGTCTATCTCCAGGTAGCAGATCTGGTTTCCCAGCTGAGAACTAGTGCACTATGTGCTAACACTGTCTGAAATAAAGTATTATTATTATCACGCAAGGATAACAGATGTGCATTTTTGTCAGAAAACTTGAGATTATCCTAGTTTTAACAAACTTGTTTGTTGTAAGACAAGTTAGACCACGTTAGTAAATCACTTGGTTAAGGGTTGAACCAGTAGTCTGTAAACCTGTCACCATTCAGATTTCCGCATCAACTTCAGTCATCATCCACATAGGATTATGTTTCACTAACCCCCTTTAATATTCTTAGATTTTATGACGTGGAAACCTTCGGAGGATAAAGCTGTACAAAAAACATAATACGTTTAAATGGATTTTACCAGTAAATTACCAATACTGGAAAAGAGGCAATAATACACAGATGTAGTCCAGCTTAAAGATTTAGTATTACAAAAGATCATCAGTATTACCTCTTATGCAAGCCATCAGTTTAATACTTTTAAGTGAGCTCAAGAACCGGATGGATGGTTATAGTTTCTTTATTAGTTGTTAAAATCGACTAACCAAGGAGGGAATATCTATTTTCGAATAAATTTTATCCATTAAGACTATTAAACTAAACAGGCAGGTATTTGAAATAAGACAAATATAAGAATTTTTATAGAAAATAAACAAAGGTGCTTATTGGAATAATTATATTGAAATAAGAAATTACCTTGTATAATATTTAATATTGAAACATAACAATGACTAACACCACGCTGTGTTGGAGTAGAAACCATCATATTTTTAGGTTGTAATAAACGCCTCATAACATCAAATACAGTTGTACGTCTTACTGTTGCAACTTCCGTATCTGTTGTCAGTGGAGTATAACCAGTCATTAAGAAATGCAATCGTGGAGTAGGCGTCAGTGGAGCAATTAAACCGATTAGATCATTGTTCATATAACTTGGATACCGTAGTGTGGCTGTACTTGCAGACATTACTTTGGAAACCTTTATTTTTAAACATGAAGTATAACGAAAACAGATCAATGTTAATAATTTACACACAATAATCTGGTTAAAAAGCGAAGCGTGACAAGGTTACAGGTATATCGGTACGCACCAGTCTGAGGTTTACAGCTATCAATACTGACAACTACTGGAGTACGTAAAGTTATTATCTATACATGTATTTTAACTGCCTTGAAGTAATTAGTGGAGGTCTGTCTCGACTTATAACCTCATAATGATGATTCAGTTCTTAGGGTACATTTTTTTTTAGATGAAACATCGGTGAAAACAGTCTGAGGTATTTATGCGAGAAAACCGAAGTGTGATGATTTTTCTCAGAAGATCTGAATCATAGCACACAATAACAAAATAAGGGAGAGAACACATACAACGATTGTGAACAACGCTGGGTAGCAACAGTAAGAGCGAGGAGGCGATCAAAACATAGTGGCTAGAAATTATTTATATCCATTGAAGAACATCACCAAGAACACTTAAATTATTGAAATATTTTTACAAGTGGTTAAAATAATGAACAAAACACTCTAATGAGTTTGTCTGATCTTTCAACTCTCCAATCAAAGTTCAGAAGGCGAAGCCATTTTGATGTGATCACTATGCAATGATGATTTCAGTAGCTGCTCAGAAACACTATATTGATCAGTTGAGGCAATATTTGCAGCGTGTGTTTCCGTATATTGGTCACAAAAGTCACTGAAGATAGGGAAAAACGAATCCGAAAAAGTTAAATAGATTTAAGCTCGGACACGAATGCACCCATTAAACCTTCACCCGTCGACCGGTACCAGAACACAAAAATGCTTAGTGGTGGTGAAACACTTGTCACTTCTTAATCTGAAGGCAGCGTTCTATGTCATTGATCAAGGCGTGAGGCAACAATGTAGGATTGACAAGAAAGTGCCGAGAAACCATGTTATATTAGTCAAGACGCTAACCAAACTCATGTACCAGCATAAGAGTTTACACAGAACCGTCACCTAAAGTGGCTTAATGAGTAGTGTCATTATTTTTACTTAGTTTCATTAGAGCAAAGTTTTTAGCAATCAAGAGAAGAAAAAGTTCACTTAGGTGTAGAAGACAAAATTCTTTTGTTTGAAGGCACTGAGAAAATAGTCTTCTGAACATCCCAAGGAAAAACTGTATGTTCGGCATGCGTTTTTTCCAGTTAAATGAAAGATGATGTTACTAAATGGCCTGTGCTAGGTCTTAGTTTAAGTATAGGTGATGCTTACTGTACTAAAGCTAACCCTTTTTACATTCTGTAATAAGAATGTAGTACATAGAAAAAATGGTTATATTCAAGTAGCCACTGTTGATCTTAAAATACTGAACACGTTTAGTAAAGAATGCCCTTCATAGTTATAAACAGTAAGACAAAATTAACGGAACTCAGTGGAAGAGACTATAAGCTTACATCGAATTGAAAACCTGAGATGTCTACACATACTGAACTGTCAGAGTGATTATATTAGGATACGTTAACAGCCCATGAAGTCTTTGAATACAGGCTTAAGCAGTTGGTTTCGAAGCTGGAGTGTACAGTGCAACCGAAGCGGTTGGAGATTATATATATATATATATATATATATATATATATATTAATTATTTTTTACAGAATTTGAAAAAGAATGTCACTCAACAACCAATCGCAATTCTATGCAGTTGGTAATGAATCACAGCTTTTGTGTATATAAGGATTAGTGATACTGACTGCTTACACCTCGGTAGGTGGAGTGGGATTTTAACCCGTGACCAAGTGGTTGGAAGTCGAGCACTGAGACCAACAGAGCCTCACTTTACAAAGTTTGCACACACAAAACTGATTGAAAACTCAAAAGGAATCAACGATAATTACCAACTGGTTGATTTGTGCAAATGATGGATTTTCAATGTGTAAACGATCTGTAGCTATCCGGTGTAGAGCAGTATTATCCAGAACAACCTGGAAGAAAAAAGGAGAAAGTAACGAAAATGTCAGTGTGTGCAAATGTGACCGATATTACTATGGCGTAACAAAAATAGTTGTATTCAGTGTAGTAACATAAATAAGTATTCATCACCTAGGTACACCCTGAAGCAGAAGAGTATGTAATATTTGTTTCCACTTGTGGGTATGAAGTACAATATTTATGTGAGTAGGTTAATAGGGTCCTCATAACCTGGGTGATTCATATAATAGTCACTTCATGAGCTTAGTAAAAAATATGAGCCAGAAAATATCTAACAGACGCCTAAATTAGCGTAACTTGAAATGTAAGAACAAAAAGGTGGATATACACTAACAGCTTTAAAGGTTTTGATTATGTTTGAGTTATAGAACCTTTAAATCTTTGGTTTTTTATCAAATTCTTCTTAATTTATTTTTGTGAATACACCAAGAACAGAACTCCCTTCAGATGACACTGAAACATTTGACCTAGCAAAATTCAGCACTAATTAAGCAAAACAAAGAGGAGTGTATGCATTACAATTCAGTTACTTTAAAGATAATTCTTAATACATTGGAACTCACCACACAGTCAGCATTCAAAGTCAAACGTTTCAATGTTAACAAACTGTTATAAGGTTGAACAACAACATCGCTAGTCTCTTCTAAGTTTGGGAAAACTGAATAAGTTTGAATAAGTTTCTTCGGAAAGTGTGAATTAAGACGTTCGAGGATAAATGAACCCATTCCAGATCCTGTTCCTCCAGCGATAGAGTGAGTCATAACGAAGCCCTAGTTAAAAAAAAAGTAAATCAGTAACAAGAATAGATGAAACATAGACTAGTGATATACTGACTACTAAAAAATGAACAAAGGGCTGTTTAATTCTGAGTTTAAAACTTACCGAACGCATAATTAATTTTAGAAGATTAATGCAACTAATTAGTATTTACAATGATTTGTTGTGCAACATGCTCACAAATAAACTTATTGGTGAGGGGTCAATGAATTTCATGTTATTAATCGCATATATACTGAGTTCTCCAACGTCTCTCTCTAACCTAATTAATTTAGATGAACTATTACTATTCTTAAAGAGCACCAAAGAGCACGCCAGAAAAAAGTTTCGAGTCAAGATTTCATCATTTTATAATTTACAGTTTAGTAGAAGTAAGATATACGAAAAGAAATAATTAGGTCTACATCGAACTAATTAGTATTAGGTATACAAACAAAACATCCCACGATCTGTTCGAACAGCCAGAGTAGAGCGAAGTTTATCTAAAAGACATACGCTGAACTTATTAAACATTATTATTATTCCTTCGGGTTCTAAGTGGAATTTAGGGCTTCAACAACACATCTCCCACTTTGTTCTATTTTCTGCCGTCCTCTTCAGCTGGGTCCACGATTAACCATAATCTCTCATCTCCTCCATGTTACCCTAGGACGACCCACTCATCGCTTCCCATTTGGACTCCATTAGAACAATGGCCTGGCGAGCGACGTCACTCGACGATCTCCTAGGCGTGTGTCCGAACCATCTCCACGTTTTCCAACACATTTGTTGAGCGATCGGTTTTTGGTTGGTTTGTTTTTTGTCGCTAATTCTTTCTGACCATTTGATCTTCAGTATGGAGCGAAGGCAGCTGCTGGTAAAAATCTGTAACTCGTTGGAAATCCTTTTCGTGACACGCCAAGTTTCTGACCCGTATAGAAGTACTGACCGACTTCACATTTGTGTTGAAAATCTGAATCTTTTTCTTTATGCCAAACGCAGATTTCCAAACTGTATTCAGGTTGATAAAGGCGTATCTTGACTTTCCGATTTTGGCCTGCTTTGACATCTTCATTCACGCGGCCGCCTGTGGTTGAAACCGTGTTTCCTAGACAAATGATAGAAGTAACCACTGTAAAATCTCTCCCGTTGATGGTGATTGCTGCTGGTTGTTGTTGCTGTTGGTTGGTTAGTTATCTTCATCACCTCTATGTTCAACTGGAGTCTTGTCTTCACTGCCTCTTCAACGTTTGTTGGTTTTCGCCTGCAAGTCTTAGAGTTTGTGTGACATTAGACGTAAATCATTTGCGAAATCCAGATCTGGTCTTTTTATCGGTGGTCCAGCGTATTCCTGTCTCCTCGCTCCCAACTCACAGTCTGACGCATAATCCAGTCCACCACATCTTATTACACAAATCAATTACAAAACGTTGACAGAAAGCATGGGGAATAATAAAATAACATAGGAAAGAATACTATTTGAGAAATTATCCGTAGAACAATGCATTTAATGTTTGGTATGAGAAAAAATATAAGTATATTCTAGTATTTGCTATTGATTTCGATAAATACTAGTATTAATAATAAATCTGTGTGCATGTTTATGAGATAACAGTACTTCTTGTTCATCCAAAATTCAAAAGGCAAAGAATTTGAACTTACAATCCACATATTGGAAGTCAAATATTTGAATTAACGTACGGCGCTACTATCCTCTTTTGGATCTGATCGCTGATGTCTTGTAAGCAGCAGCTAAGAAGAATCAAATTTCTATTCGTTTTTTCCGAGTAAAACTGGTTGTACATTGTTATTTGGGAATAGATACTTAATAGAATGATAAATTAAGCACACTGTGATTTAAACCATTATGAATAAGTTCCTTGGTAACCGCATCTACTGGTTAGCAATCTTATGTCAATTTTTTCATAAAAAACTTAAACTTATTAGATGATCAATGAAGCAACGCCTAATATTTAGTAGGACTAAAAAGTTTATTAGAAAGTTTTTTAATGTTAGACAATCCTTCTTACTTCCAAGCTATCACTTCCTTCAGCTTCACGATCAATAATATCAAAGACCTCTTCTTCTAATTTTTCACCTTGTGTAAATCCAGCTGCCCAATTATTTCCAGCACCACCTCCGTGTTTAGATAAATAAACATTTTCTGGATTATATAGTCGAGCATACGGTGAAGATAAGATTGCATTGATTACACGTGGTTCCAAGTCTAATAAGACAGCACGAGGAATATAATGGGCATCATCTGCCTACAAAAAAACACACGATAAAAAATATAAAAATGACTCCTTTTATTATAATGACTTTGTTATTTAACAGCTACTTGTGGAAAAGAACTATCTGCCTACTAATAATGCCTTTTATTAGTCATAAAACGGCCTAAATAGACTAAAATATTGTATGAGTTGGAAAGAACCTGCAAGCTTTAGTAATAATACACACATCAACTAATTCGTATAAACTTGACGCCAGGAGGTATTCTACACGAAGACAATAAGGAAAAGAAAAATCAAACAGCTAGGGAATGACAGGATGAAAATGGGTAGGAATGGTCATTACAAATGTTCGGAAGAACATTCGTTACCTTCAGAAATAGAAAGGGGGAAAACGTTGTATATTCACCAATGATCTCGATCCTCAGCCCTATGTAACAGTGCATGAAGTGACTGAGTCGCGTGTCATGTCACACCGTATTCAAGGAGTCGTTACGCACCAACGGATGCTGGCCCCATGGTCTAGCTACGTTTTTTCGACCAGTTTCAGGATTAATTAAGCAGTGAATGATATTAAAGTTTTTGGGATGACACTCGTAGCGACTGCATTAACACTTGAGTCGAATGTGGCAAGATAATATCACCACAATCGTTAAACTATGCATTACGTATCTCTGAGGGAAGTAACCAGTGGTTATGACAACCAAAATGCACTTAGGTTTATATTGGGAAAAACGCGAATGCAGTACTAATCTCTAATCACGAAAGTTTTTACAGTGATACGTACGACGGAAAATGACTCAGATTTAGAAGATAGGCTAGAAGTAATGAATTTGAGCTCAAAACATTTATTTCTTTAACCATTTCATTTGAGACTTTGGTTAGCCAAAGGACTTTTAAAAACTAAGTACTACTGAATTGAACTTAACAACATATATTGGTCAAACACTTTTACGAAAAAGTCACCAAAGTGCATTTGTGGAAGCAACTGAAACATCAAAATAGATGAAAAACTAACTATTCTGCTGTCCCCTTAGATTTGTAGGGATTCAAACTGTTTTGTCGAATACTTTTCTCTAGCCATCCTTTGCTTTTCAAACGTCATTGGTATTACTCTGTTTCCAATAAAGCAATATGCATGGAAGAGACAAATAAAGAAACTAATGCGACTAAAACACATGATATAGGTAAACGGTTTGATGTTTTTGAAGGTGCGGTACTTGGCCACAACCGTTTCATCGCCGGCCTTGGTAACAATTTTACTACTGACATCTTAATGAAGTTTCCAATTAAATCATGAGCTAAAAATCACCTCATTTGTGATATGCATTAATTTTGAAACCAACAAATACCCGCATAACAATGGAAAGTGGATTTATCGCAAATGCAACTCCTGCAGTTCTAGGGTTTTGTAGACAACACATATAAACGTACACATACAAGTTTATGCTGGATAGCTGGTTTTGTGTGACTAAAAGCAATGCAAAAGAAATTTTGCATCCAAACTCAAGGTACTCAGGTCGATCCATAAATCGTTTCGGATGTGAATATACCGGAAAAAAAGTACATAAAAATATAAGGAATACAATGGAACCTCGTTACGTACATCTTTAACAAATTTAGAATAACTGCAAAATCATTATAAAATGCTACGCGAGCGCTTTATGGTAATACACCATTATAAAAATGCACAGTACACTAAAAACGGTAGTTAATAAAAGATGGATACAATGCATTAAGAATGAATGTAAAATTACTGCGGTTTACTTGGTAGAAAAATACATCTTTGCGGTCAGTATCACTGGTGGCAAATTCTTCAAGCGTCCCTTCAGGGCTAATCCCATGTTCAGCGCACAGCTGCTTCCAAAACTCCATTCCAACTGAGGTATACGTAATAAAGAGAAAAGTAATCGAAAAGTTAGAGGAGCAATGACGCCAGTAGTTATACATCAAGTGAATACACAGCTTCACATAAAACTTCAGCAGTCACGTTAGACTATATGGGTAAGTTATTTTATAGTTGGTACGTGTATTAGCATCAACTATTAGTTATCATTTATAGGCAACTCTTTAACTAAGATGCCTATGTTTCCCAAAGTCATCATGTTACGCTAGTACTAAGGTATATAAGTCTCTTCTCGCCAAGAAGCTAGTAGAAAAAATAACGAGCAAGCAACCTTAAGTTGACTTTAACCTTACAAACTATAATTATCTTGAGTCGTTACCTAACTTTGTTAGCCAGGAATATTTACTATTTTTACATTTTTTTACTCGCATTTAAATTTGTAGTATATACAAATTGCTGACGACTTTAACTTGAAAATTAGTTTGGGCAGACTTGGTATTGGGAAGATTGCAGACAACCATTCAGCTTTCTTCAATGCGCATGAAGTTTTTCGTCCGGATATGTCTGAAGTGGGTCCGCAGAAAATGCTACTGTTGTTTACATTTACACGACACTCACTGTCGTTATTCCAGTACTAAAGCGTGTTGTTTCTTAACCAAAAGCTTCAGGTAGTTATGAGGTAAGAGAAACCTCTAAAATAAACTCATATTGTTAGGTCTTTCTTGCTTTACCGGAGTTTACCAAAGGAATCATGTGGGTGATGAGATAGTACTTTATTCCCATTGCATAAAAAACTAATCACAATCTAGCTGTGATTCTGCTTAAAAACTCAAAACATGACAACGAAACTCAAAGTAAACATACTTTGATTCCCGCATTGTCCCAACTGTAAAGTAATAATATCCCGCGGCATCGTAGCGCAACAACTGAATAAGCCTCAATTGGGACAACAACAGTTCAAAGTTATCACTGCTTTCAGAATCAGATTTGTTGACTGAGTATAGATGGATTGAAGCCTATGTAAACCCATTTTAATCAAATTTCTCTAGTTGTCTAAACCCTTCTTGAATGAGTCAATTGAGGTTGCTTTAGGGAGTCTATTCTAGGAGACTATGACTCAGTATTAAAACCAGTACTCCACAGCAATATAGTTTCTCCTTGGTTTTTGATCCCTCTTGCTATGTCCTTTGAGGTGTTCCGACCTGGCGGGAAAGAAAAGAGAGAATAGATCAGGCCTGTAGTCATTATTTTAAATTTTAAATCTCTCTGCCTACTGTATGATTGGGAGAAGAGATTTAAACTGTCTATTCTTTCCTCGTTTGATAGATTAGTCATGCCAACAGTCGTACGGGTTGAGCCCTTTCTAGAATATTTGAGTGCCCTTTAAGACAAGGACTGGTTGTCTTGATACAGTGTTCCAGTCATTACCTCCCCAGAGATGAATATAGGGAGGCAAATATATCTCTAATGATTCTAGAAAGGGCTCTACGAACTGCTCATAAGGATCTGAAGCTACTTGCAGCCACTGCGAGGCAGTGTGCTTTGGCTTTTAATTCGTGACTTACTATGACACCTAAATCCAAATTAGCCGGAACTGATGGGAGTGTTATCCCCTCTAGCGCGTAGAAGCTAGTGCTTGCGTATCGAATGAGCATGGTGGCACATTTCGCTGCGTTGACTGGCAGCAACCGTTTGTTGGACAAATCTAACAATTTGCTGAGGTCCCCTCGCAACGTCGGCGTATCACTGTCGCCCTTCACCTCTCTCCAGATTTTTATGCCATCTGCTTACAAAACCATCTGAAAATCAGTGAGCACAGATAACTCATTGATATACAAAATAAATGAGAGGTCCGAGTACTGTCCCTTTTGGCATTTCGCCATGCACTGTTGCTCAGGAGGGAATTTTGAGATTTGCCCCTCTGACTCCTACCTATGAGGAATTCCCTAATCCAGTCTAGAAAGCTACGTTTGATACCAAGACTTTCCAACTTCGTTATAAGTCTTTTGTGTGGCACTTTATTGAAGGCCTTGCTGAGGTGTATAGAGACAACGTCGGCGGGTCTTCAGCTGTACCTTGATTTAACAGGCATGAGAGGTTCCCTTGGAAGCCATTCTGTGCTCTGAATAATAAGTTGTCTTCCACATATGCCACGATAGCTTTCCTGATGATTCTTTTCAGTGTCTTGATTAAGGTACTAGTGAAACTAATAGTTTGAAGATCAATGTTTTGGTCCTCCTTTCTGTATGGTTACTATGGTGTCTTACCAATCGCGTGGTAACACTAGGTTTAGGAGAGACAGCTTGAGGATCGTGGCTAGGGGGCTGTGAGCTGACTGTACCCTGAGAATACCTTGCATGAAGATTATCAAGACCTATTGATTTCCCTCCATCTAGTTATTTTAGGCAGGTGAGCACGATGTCTTGGTTGACGCCATGTTCTTCTGATGCGGCCAAAGTTGATCCTGTGCGGAGTGAAAACTCTTGTGCAAATATTTGGTAGAAGTAGTCTGCCATTGCCTCTACTTTTTCCTGATTCTCTTCGCTTATGTCGTTGTCAGTAGTCAGGTTAGTTATTTAAATGCTTAATTTATATGACTGAATTTAACCTGTATCACTTTTAGGAATGTCGAGTCGTAATGAGGTCTGTCAGTTAGTTAAATTCAGTGGGAAGCAGATATAGTCGCATTCGGACAAAGAAATCCGAAAAACACTGACGAGTATTTTATGACATATGACCAGATACATTTGCATAATCAATGTAGGAATTGGTTCTAAATAGGACAGTAAGTGAAGGTAAGTTCGCTCGTTCACTTATAACCTTGCAGATATTATTTTTTTTCTAGTTCGTGATACCGGATAACTTCGGATGTAGTCATATAGTTCTGTTTACTTGAATTGCGGAAGAATTTAAAGGTGACGCGATTTGGAAAATGGGAAGTCTCCGTCGAATAATGGGAGATACTTCCCAAACGAAGACTTTCATCCTTGACTGTGCAGAGCCCATACATGTTAATAAACTTGTTTTCGTTGCAGCGAAATAAACGTTTCTATCTAATATTCTTGTATTCTATTGATTCTGCATGCGGTGGAAGTACGGCATACTAGACCGGTACTCCCTAGGATATGAACTCGTTACTATATGTAGGTGTAATTTTGTAGGAACACTATCGAACGATATAAATGGTGAATTACAAGTACTTCAGTCAAGCCTAAACATCTGCCTAAAGTTACGTGAGTACGTCTCCTAGTCATAAATAAATTTGGAGGGACCAATGAAAAAAGTACCTAACTTCAGTATTCGAAGAATAAGAATAGAACTTAGGCACTGCAGTTGAGTTCGATTTCGTATAAGGTTAAATGTATTCAAAAGTTGTGCATTACTATTATCTCACTTAAAGCGTGATTTCAATCCATATGATTACGGATGTTAACGTATAGTGTAAAATTAAGTCTACACGAGACGAATAGTTAAATAGGTTGATCTGTAGCAATCGTGGTAAGATTTCGCTTACGCTGAATTATGCCAACAATTACTTTCTCAAGTCTCATTGATAAGTCAGGCCCCCATCTCGTCATGATGACAAATTGAGTTTCACTCAGATACAATAAGAAAAGTATGGTAAGCACGATGTTAAATGTATTTAATGAAAAATAATAAGCAAATATCTTTACACAATTGCTTTTCGCAATTATTTCGCCGATGTTGAACTGCTGTGACCAGGTTGACTGACGTTACCAGATATCTGCAAATAAGTGAACAAAGTGCATTTTTTAAATCGCTGAAGTAAGAAAGAGGTAATAATAATGTTGAACGCTTTATATTTGCCTACCTTTGCTGAAAAAGGTTCATTCTTCGTTCTCATTCTTCGTTCATGACAGCATTCTTCTGTGGGTTTCACTGTCACACAAATTGTTCATCTTCTGAAGTATAGCAGCAAGCATGCATTCACTACATACACTGAAGCACTGTAACCTGAACATCAAAAAATCCCTACGGATGACTTGATTAATAATAAATGCTTTAAAGATATGAGCCATAAGTGCATCTTCCATATCCTTCATAGCCACAAGTAATTCATTAAGGATCTCAGAATATCGCAGTGATCTGAAAACGAATAATTATTAAGACTGGTATAACTTATACAACAGGTGTCGTAGTTGTAGGATACAGCTGCTAGCTACTAATCGACAGAAAGCTGATACTAATTTTAAGTAGTCTGACATTTTAGGAGGACCATCTATACTATCCTTCGTGACACGATACACACTGATATCAACATAATCTGATGCCATGTTATGCACTGAGCAATTACGGTCTTCTGAAATTCTATGTGCAAATGTAAATTAAACTAGTATCACATCTTCGCCTGAACAATTTTAAATAGGAACTTCATCAAAATAGATATAATCACCAGGAAATTCAACAGCCTGTCTCATTCATCGTATGATCTCTTCGATGTATTATGGAATATTTCAGTCATTACAGATGATAACAGAAGTGTTTAGCATCCTCAAAACACACATCTAACTTATGTATGTGGTCTATTTCTCTTTCAAATGCCCGATTGTCACAGAATAACTGGGATGACAACAGCCATTGCCTGTAGTCAGTTTAAAAACCAACTCTAAAATAACGAAGCTTTGAGGCTCTAAAACGCAAATAATAGTCTTTCTAAGCGAAGTTTCTTAAAGAGGATGACTTTTTTAATTAATAATTCGTCTGGGCTATCAAGACAATTTTACGCATTACTACGAACACAATACTGCAAAATATTGATTTTTTCGGCTACAGAAGCCTAAAACTAGTCAAATAGGTAGACGTTAAGTGCCATGTTCTAGTAGCGCTGTTAAAATTTTCCTTGGAAATTTTTTGTCAATAATTTTTAATGAAATTGTGTTATATGTTATCTGGATTGATGAGAATTCCCATTTTCTGGCCTATTGTTTTGGTGTCCGCGTCATGTAATCTGACTGCGACACCCCCTAGCATATCGGTTGCAACGATCAGTGTTTCAGGCGAACTGTAGCAAAATATCGCTATAGTGAGAAAGATAGGATACTTGAAGGGTAATTTCATCTACACAAATAGTCTACTTTACTTAGATGCTGCACCTTTCGTCACGGTATCATTCAATGGAGACTTCACGTCTCAGGATATTAATTCAGCCTATTTACGTGTGAAGAACAGTCCTTTTTGACAAAAGAATTCTGTCAGTACTTCGAAATCACCTGTAAATGCCAACAGAAACTTCTGTGGGAATAGAAGTAATCATGTAGATGTGTCTCACCGTGTGTGTTTGGACAGGAATTATCGTAAGTTGAGAGGTTATTTCTAAGTGGATTTCATGTATATTTGCACTATATAGTGTAGTGTAATATGAGTTATGTGGACTCAATGTTTAAAAAATACCTCAACTTTATTTATATTGTGCTATTGTCTCCTTAGCTGACTGCTTGGCTAGCAAACGTAGGTGGTTGTCATGATTATTGCAAGTGCATTGCCGTGGAGAAGGCAATCACTCGTTTAAATTCCTTACTGTGTCGCTTAGTGTATTAATTCAGTGTTGTAGCGGTAAATAATTCCCCAAAATTATTAACCACAGCAATCATCTCTCAACATTGGATGCTGACCACCACTGTTTAAGTCGACTTGTTTAGCTGAAGGCTTACGGTCAAGCATCCCCGCCATTTGGTGCTTCGTCGTGTCACGTGCGTGCACGATTACTAGCTAGCTAAGCATTCACCTCTACCCGCGATTTTGTCCCGAAATATAATACGTACTTTGGACGACAAATTCTGGTCTTTTGCTTTACCATTTGGTACTCGAAGAACGAACACTATAGTGGTTGTTGGTATAAGATCTTGCGTTAGTATAATCCGTACAACTCGCGAACATCGATACCTGCAGCTCCCCTAAACTGGTGAGCCCAACCACGAACTACATCTTCAATTCACACGCAGATAAATCCGGTGAGTTCGTTCCTTTTTGTGTTTATTCTTGTACTATATTGTTATCGGCATACTTTTCGTCATGAGTGATCCTAGCCCCAAGGTTATTCGGATTCGCTCAACCGCCAAAACAATTCAGCTAG